AACAAGGGACAGGTCATAAATACTGGGGAAACCAGTTGGGATGTGGAAGGTGTCCACAGGGTGACAGTGGCACACAGGGAGCCATGGGAAGATGYCCACGGGGTCTTATTGAGAGGGAGCCATGGGAAGATGGCCATGAGGTGACAGTGGCACACACAGAGCCAGGGAAAGGTATCCATGAGTGACAGTGACACAGGGAGCCATGGGGAGGTACCTGGGTGGGCAGGGAGGACCAGTCAGAGGTGGTGGCATGGCCTCAGGGAGGGCTGGATGTCACCAAGCTGCTGCTCAAGGGACACTGAGGCCCAGGCTGTCCCGGGGGGCTCAGCAATCCAGTGCCCCCCTGAGCTGGTCCTGCAGCAATGGGGCACGGCCCCACACACACCAGWACAACCCCAGCCCTGGGACTGGGCACGCTGGGAGCACAGCTGTCCCCATCCTCAGAACAGAGGGCCCAGGACAGGGGTCAGGCTGGGGGGGACATGAGYCCCSAGTGCCACCCCCGTGTCAGGGTGAAGCGAGGAGGGGAGCAGGGATGGGGTCAGGAATCAGCCCCACTTCCCTGGGCTCCTCCCCAAACCTCAGCTCTGCCTGCTCTGGGTGCAATGGTCACCTCAGGGATGAACAGTGGCCTTGGTCACCACAGGGGACACCCTGGTGGCACTGCCACCTGCACTGTCCTGGGGTTGGCTCAGTGCAGGGTGGGCACCCACACCCTTCACCCCGGATGAGGTGCTGGGGGTGGGGGACACCTCCCCATGGCTCTGGGGTGGGAGCTGCTGCCTCTGAGCCGGGAAGGAGCTGGGGAGAACATCCCGAAGGATCAGAGGGGATGGGGTGGGTTTGGGGTGACCCTGGGGTGGAACTGAGGGACAGTTTTGGAGCTGAGCCTTGGGGATGCCCCAGGACAYGGAGGGGACGGTGGAGGGACAGCCTGACCCCAATCAGCAGTGCAAAGTTTCTCCAGGTGTGAGGAGGAGCTGCTCCCCGGCCCAGGAGCTCGCCCCAACACAGCCTTCCCTGAAATGAATGAATTAAAACCTCTGGGATCGGGGATATCTCGGGGCATAATCACCAGCAAACCCATGGGGGAGCTGAGAGGTAAAAAGGAACGTGACCAAAAGCCGGGAAACTCCTGCACACCTGGAGAAGCCTCGCTGGATTCATCCCGAACCAGGTGAGCGAAACACAAACGAGGCTTCCCARAGCGAGCTGAGGGGACAGCTGGGGACACGAGGCCGTTCCTGCTGGGGATGGTGGGATTCCAGCCCGGGGATGGTCYCACCGCACCTCTGCTGGCTTCAAAGCTCCCCATCCCCAGCAGCACTCCGTGTGTCCCCCCCATCCAAAARCGGGGACCCCTCCCCACCCTCTGCCGTGCGAAGGATGAAGAATGAACAAGAGCTGGGAAGGAAGTGCCTGTCAGCAGGATGGCACCATCATCATCATCATCTCCAGAGGGCTCTGGAGCCCGCTTCCATCGCTGATCCATCCATCCATCCGTCACCCCCCATCCCCGGGGACATTCCGAGCTGACCCCGCGGATTTCAGCAGTCTCTCCCTGCCCTCCTGGCCGGGAGGAGCCCGGCGCGGCCGCGGGGCCAAGTTGGAGGCTGCTGATTCTCCATTAACGCACCGCCCTGCCGGGATAATTAATCGCAACCTCGCCGGCGCTGGTTTGAGCAGAAACCCCCCGGATCCCCCCCGCGCTCCCTTCGCCGGCTCCTCTGGCAGAGCCTGATGAAGATTGATTCGCGGGCGGCGGCAAACGCGGCACCGAATCATCGCAAAAGCCGACAATCCCGTAAAAATCTGCCCTCTCCTTTCTCCTTGCCCCCCACATCCCCGTGTSCCCCCACCGCGGGCAGGGGAGTCCCGCTCCGAAGCAGGAGAGTTTCCAAAGTGCTGCCAGCGGCTCCAAGTTTCCCTCTCGCCCCGACTCGGGGGAGCAGCACCCCGAGAAGCATCCTTGGAGTCGCCAGAATGGGAAACCGCGGGCGGGAGTGAACTCGGAGGGAAGAGATTGCAGTTGGGAACAAAGCTCACACCTGCTGGAGACGCAACCTCGGGCACTGACAGCGCAGGGAACGGGTCCCCATCCWCCTCCCTGCCAGCGCTGGCTTGAGGGAGAGGATGAGGGTGGCGTTTCCTGTCTTTTCGATCATCATTTTTCCTTTTCTTTGGTTTTTTTTTGGGTGATGGTGAGGCATCCCCGAGCTGGTCCCAACACAAGGTCACCGCCGAGGCGGCGTGGGGAGCGGTGACAGGCAGCAGCATCTCGCACAAAGCACCCCCGGCATGCCGATGAGCCTTACCAGCTGCAGGCAGCAGAATCCCACCAGCGTGCATCGCCCGTTGCATCTCCCCATGGTTCCCCAGCCGGATCCTCGGGGCTCCCTCACCGTGGCCTCGCTCCGCCGCCGCGCTCCAGCTCCTCAGCAGCCGCCCCTTGGCCACCCGGGGAGCCTCACGGGGGGCTCCAGCACCATGTCCCGCTCTCCAGCCTCCGGCCAGCCCCGCCGGGTCAGCACAGCGGCGGGCTGGGCTCGGCGCGGGGCATCGCCCCCCTTTTTCCTCCGCCCCCCGCCCCGCTACAGCCCGCTCGGGCGGCGCGGGGGCCGCGGGGCCGCGCAG